ACCCTAAACCCTAAACCCACATAATCTCACTTCTTTACGCCCCATACTGTCCATAGAGTTCCTGCCCCCACCCAACCCTAAGACTCCAGAACCCTAAACCCGGTCTAAACCCTAAACCCTAAACCTAAGACCCCTAAACCCTAATCCCTAAACCTAAGACACCCTAAACTCTAAACCCTGCTAGGAGTTCTAAGTCTGTAGATCTGAGGTTCTACCAGAGTCCTCCCGTCAACAATAGGAAGAGATGTTTCGCAACATTAACTCTTCAGGGCTTCCTATGATGATATTTGGAGGGTCTATATTGGGTGTACATGAGGCCATGACGTACTTGGGCTTTTGCTGAGGCAGTAGCTCCACAAGCGCCCGTGTAATCCGAAAACCCTATAGGCTCCACCGTGGAGAAGAAAACGAAACATAAGCTTTGGAAACTACTTATTAACCCTGTATCCTAAACTGAGTTTCTATCCAAGTACTTTGGAATACAGTGATGGGCCGGCCGCACTTTGGCACCATCTCAACAATGAATTCTAAATCCAAAGCTCCTGAACCCTCAAGCCCATATAGACTTACCATTACTTTTTGGGGCTCTCAACTTTCTTTACTCTCGAAAACTGCAGTATTTCAAGCTTAATTATCGGCCCCCAAACCCTAAGTAATAGTAATAAAGTAAACTCAAGCTCGAGTCCCCTAAAGCCTAAACCCTAAGCGGTTTAGGGTTTGGGGCATAGGGTTTAGGGACCCTAAACCATAAACCCAAATCCTAAACTGACTTTGCACCCAGGCGTCCAACACCCAGGTCATGCCCTCACCCGGATGCTCATGCACGAAGAGCACAGAATTCCTCAATTGATTTGGGCGTAGGGGTGAACATTTGGGGTTTAGGATTTAGGGTTTGGATTTAGCATTTAGAGTTTAGCATTTAGGGTGTAGGACTCAAGGTTTAGGATTCAGGGCTTAAGATTTAGGGTTTAGGATTCAGGGCTGAAGCTGTAGGGTTTAGGATTTGGGCTGTAGGCTTTTCTTGGGATCTTTGAGTTTGTCAGAATGACCCCGGGGATCCAAATAGTGCAAGGTAGGGATGTATTTCTAGACTGTAGGCCCGAGATGTGTTCTAACGGGACTTCAATGGGATCCCCAAAGCAGGGAATGCAATGAGTATAGTAGGAGAATACTAGGAACAAAACTAGCAGGGTCCTCTCATTCCTGGTCTTTTCTTACTATATTCTTGGGGTTCCCTGTTTAGGGCTCCCATTTTACCCCTCTGGAGCACCGAGTTCCTTGTCATCTAGGAGTTTCTCAGCAAGAGGGGGCCCTGGGGACCATGGGATTTGAAGGATGCAATAGGGCTTAGGGGTTAAGCTTTAGGGATTTTCAGGCTTATTCACCATTATCTCATGAAGGCTAGACTCGTTGGAAACAGGCATGAGATGGTTTTCACTGAGGGCCCCAACACACGGGATAAAGTTACTGTAGGGTTTAGAGTTTAGGGTTTGGAGGAGCTCCCATGTAGACTTGTGCTGATGAAGCCCAAACCATACTAAAGCCTAAGGGTATCTTTCGTTCACTCCTACAGCCCACACACTAACGAGCCCACAGGGGAGACGGGAGACCACAGGAAACCCAAAAACACTTCGCAAACTAGATGCTTGTGCTCACTCCACCGACACATGACAGGCAGAGAGAGCATTTCTGCACCCCAAATTTACCCAGGATTCTTCCAGCATACCCCAATTTAATGGGGCCCCCTAAACCCTAGACCCTAAACCCTAGACCCTAAACCCTAGACCCTAAATCCTAAACCCTAAACCCTAGACCCTAAACCCTAAACCCTAGACCCTAAACCCTATCTACAT